GTTAAATAACATTTTATATGACAGTTGTTATGTGGATCCATTTCGGTGAATTTTACAAATTAGATTGAAAATGAAAAGTACAACAGTCAACATGTAATTGAAGTAGAGTATGGTGTTTTGCCTACAATTATAAATCTATTTAACTTAGGCCTTAAAATATGTATTTAACCATTAGACAAAAAATAAATATGAAAATATAAAAAGCACCTGAAGTGAGAATTTAAAGCTACAAGATAAGTGATCGTTTACAGTAAATATGGTGCAAGTATGTTTTTATGTTGCATTCAATGTATTGTGTAACGGTTGTAGTATTTAAAGTTATTTTAGAACCCAAGCTCACGCAAGTTTGGGAATCATAAAATTTTGAAACCAATATTGAGCATTTGTATACATATTTATCAATGCATTCGTAAAAATATGCTTTATTTTTCGAATTAACTTAACATTTTTGCTTAAACCCTTAATTTTTAGTTTTGCTTTACTCAGAATTATCATTGTCCTGTAACAATATCCCCCCCCCCCCTCTTTGAATGCATTTTCATTGTAGTCTATGTTGTAATTAACTTTGGCCGTCCCAGTTCAAGTATTTTTTTTTTGTTTTATGAATGAAAGAACAGTGATGTTTGTATCCAATTTTGAAATCCTGTTGGTGCAGGATTAATGTTCCATTTATGTTTACATGCTAGACACACTTCAAACCAAGGAAAGATCTTAGTGAACGAACTTTGTCCAAGTATACCAAATGTGTCTACAGTTCTGTCGAGCGCTGTATCGGCGTGTGGTGGCCGTGGTGACCGGTCTCCGTCCTCGCCAGGAACTATGATCCTGCACGGCTACTTTCACTGTTGCACAACTAGGGTCATCCGACGCCGCTGCTTGTGAAACGCCGAATAATCCTTTCTATCGACTCTTCGGATCTCGCACACTTTCGCCATTCCATTCTTTCTCAACACCAACCGTTTGCGAACCTTGCCAAAAACAAGTTCATGCTCTTGAAGAAGAACTTACGAGTACATGCTCATAGGGATTAGCTGATTTCGTTTGAGTATTTGATATCTAATTCCAATACATTCAACCTGGCATTTCAATTGACAACTGGGATATAATAGGAAATTTACTGGGATATAGGAAATTAGTGTAGCGTATTAAATTACCGTCAATATGGCAATAAAGCTAGGATTTACTAAGGAAATAAAGTGTGTAAGTTGATTAGTTGATAAGTTCGAGTAAAGATGATTTCTAAGAGCTTGTGAATTTATGGAGGGCACAATAAGCTTAATTTTGGTTGATGCTTTGAGAATATTTTTGAAGTATTATTGGTGGTTTGAGTAAGAAATGTATAAATGCCTATGGAGCACCGTCTAAATGATACGTCGATTTCATTTAACTTACAATATTAATATTTAACCAACGTATCATGGATACTTGAACCACTGCTCAAGACAAATCTACTAAATGATCCTTGAGGGTTGCCAGTGAAGGCTGGTATGGTACGAGCTGGGGCACGAGGCACTGGTCTGGCTACGGCACGAAGGTTCTGAGCTGCTGCTGTAGATGGTCTAGAGTTTGCAGTGGCAGGCAGAACAACTTGAGGTGCAATAGAGCCAAAGTCGGTGCTAAACAACCCATCATTGATAAACTGAGGGACTGCTAAGAACTCAAGAGGTACAGGAACTATTGCCTGTCTGGGTTGAGGCTGGTTTTCAACAACGGTTTGTTGAAATTCGTCCGCTAGAATAGAAGACGATATGGATATCCCCGTTCCTTGTGGAATCAAGGGTATTTGAAATGGTTCAGTCTGCAGCGGTGTAGGCTGAGTCGGTTGGATGGGTTTTGTCGTGGGTTGGTTGGAACTCGGTCTCTTTATGGGTTTCTGTTGTTTGACTTGTTGTGTCTGTTGTTTTGGCACAGTGTTTTGTTGCCTGTTTACATCTTTGGAAGGGATGGAATTTACCGGAGGATTGTCGGAACCCTTCCTAATAGGTCGTTGATACGCAAACTGATCATCTTGAACATTGATCAAGAAAGGATACTGGCCGTTCCTGAACTGATCATACTGCAGTGGCTGGTTATAATAGGCGGGGTCTATATACACCTGTTGGCTCAACGGACCCAGGTCGAACTGGTTCTGCTGGATCAGGCCGTTGTCGTCATTCAATGAGATGGATGGAATGATCTGAACTGATGGCGTGGGAAAAGATCGTTGTTGGTTTAGCGTATTGTATTGCGGTTGGGGTCCCAAATGTGGCCGAGTCTGTTGACCGGCTTGTCCCACTTGGTTTAAGGGTAGGTAACCGTTAGTGTGTTTCTGGCTAAACCTGTGATCGGCACCGAGAAGCGACTGTGGATCTATGGTTGTGGGTTGAACGAAGAGTTGCGGGCGGTATGTAGTTGGCCTAATAGTCTCCTGGGGGTTGAAAAGGGGTAGAACATTTTGATAGTTAAAGTTAGTGTTGTAGTTTTTATCGCGGTTCCCTATCCTCTGTTTGTAGTTGTTGGAAGGTTCCTGTTGAAGCTGTTGGGACGGTTCGAGGGCCGACAATTGGAGAGAACGCGACCTTTTCTGTAACAAGACAGAAAAAGAAAAGGTTAAGTGTTTACTGTTACTATGTCGGCCCTCTTACTAGCTAAAGCTATTAATATTTCCAACAACATTAACTTAAAACAGAATTTATATAAATAGGGCATCGATGGATATATTATGATTTCATTCATTTTTCAAGTAATGTTTATATTTGTTTCATATTACAGAGATTGTAAAAATGTAAGCTAATAGGTGCAGAGTCAGTTAAATCCTTTCCTAACTAATGAAATATGAAATAAAATATAATCAATTAAAAAATGCTAACGTAGCGAAAAATATTTACCAGACTTAAATTCCCAAATACGATCAAACACTATATGACCAAACACGATAAATTGATCATTTTCTGCTTTTTACAGATATTGAATTTATGTGAACGATTAGGCTATTTACATACAAGGATTTCTCTATAGCTAAACGATTTCTCTATAGCATGTAAGCCTAAACAAAGAATCAAAAGGTTATTGGTTGTAGTTTGTTTTATCTCTTGTTTATCAATTAAATGTTATATTCCTAAATAAGGTTGTTTACATGTTAGGCAGAGATACAAAAGAACCAATCTCGTCGTTTTAAATGTTATAGTTAGTTATAATATTTCTTTACACGATGTGAGCGTCTGGCGTTTGAGCTAACGGTGACTCTAGGTCACTGAAAGGTAGCCTTCTTATCAAATTACCTATGTTCAATCGATCCATAATACTAGCGAATCCTCCGTTAAGTCAATGTGAAGGCCGAAGGTGTGGATAATCGGAAGCCACGTGATCGTGTGCTGGATGGTGTGAAATACACACAGCCTCGTGTGATGTTTCACGAGTTCGTGGCCGGAAGTTTCATCTTCACATACTTCCTAGTGACTTCACCTTGATCATTCTTATTTGTACGCCTCCGTGATCTCACTTCAAGTCTTTATGCACGATTCTTGTGCAGTCTTTGTCTAATGAAGCCTCTTTGCTCGGAGAAAGGCTACGAAATGTTTACCAACCAAATAATCGTCTAGGGTTAGCACATTTCTAAGACATATTTCACATCGACAAATTGGAAAATTTCCAAGGACATTTTAATCTTTATTCGAACTAATTTTAGACTGTTTACATAAAAATGTGTTTATGGATTTATGTGAACATATGCAGTCATGTTTACAAGCGGAGTAACCCGGATACGCACAGGTATGGGAGTCAGGCAGGAGCTATTTTTTTATTTGCTAGGTAAATCAATGTTCACTGTAACAACTTAGTAAAACATGTAGAAGCAATATTGTGATTCTGTTGGAAGCCATTTGAAGAATAACTTTTTTATTTATTCGTTATAACACTTAATTTAGGGAAAGTCAGATTATATTATTCCTACAAAGTTTTCGAAACTGCACATTTCTAGGTTAAAGGATCGTTTTCAAAGTCTTATGCAGCAAGTTTCTCCCTGTTTGATCATCGTTAAGGGACACTTCTGTACACCATGTAAGTCAGGTGCACTTCCTAGTGCTCTAAGAATAAACCAAGGTCGTTTACTGAGACATAATGATAGTAGATCCTTGCGACAGTCTAAGACAATGAACCTCTATACAGTTTCTTATCAAGGTCGAAATTGTGTATGCTTTCTTGAGCTCAAGGTCACCTATACGTTCATGTGTCAGAGTTAGAGATTATTCAACATAACAAAGGATATTCTTCGTCCTCTGTGGTGCAGAAAGCGTGACGTTACTACGTTTGACCTTCACAATATTATATAAATAGAATTCTTCTTCTTACAACTTCTGAACACATGTAATTTATTTCACGTTATCGATCTAGTAATATTGCTTTTTTTACGTGTGTCTCTGAACACTTTGAGTGTAAGTTTTTCCTTGATTGAAGATATTCAGTTGAATAACTTTGCATATTACTTTTGAATAACTTTATTGCAAACATTATATTTTGAAGATAATCACAATATAGTAATTAAAATAACATTTACTGATGTTAAACGTCAGGTATATAGTTTGTATGTGTCAGTTGTTATCAATCTTTTGTACACTGTCATATAAAGTTACGACATTTAACATGTCTTGTGCGTTATTGTTCTAATGTTAACTTTGTTAATTGTTTTTCGTTTTTATCATCCCTAGTTGCCACCGACTACTTTAAATAAAATAACCCTAATATACAAAACACGCTTCTAGAGGGTTACTAAATTTACCCTAACTTTAGTATAATATGTGGTAAAGTATAGCATAGAAAATCAATATTTGCCATAACCTTAACCGTAACTACCAGTACGAAAGCAATTGTACAAAAGCACTAAGGTTAAGGTGAGTTAAAACTACAAGACTAGATTTAGTCTGAAATTGGTTTATTACTTTGCAGTTAATACAGTAATGTGAGGTAGGTAGGTGCACTAGTTTGTTACGGGTCTATCCATTAGTAATCCTGAAGAATCTTACCTGGGGCGAGACCCCGAGCATCTTGAGGGAAGGAGGGACGTTAAGACCGGAGGGGATCTGAATGTGGCCAAAGTCTACAGTGAAGGCCTCGCACCAGACACCGAAGTGGCCAATCTCGAACACAGTGAGGTCCCCTGGCAGGGTCAAGACGATGGTCTTCCTGTCGTATCGCCTCAGAGGGATCTCCTTGCCATTCTCGTCAGGGACTCTGATACCCTGGGGACTAGGCTTGCTGCCTCGGCCCACCCAGAACTTGGCGTCTGGTGACAATACACTTCCATTAGGCTTTCAATGCAACGGTTCAATGGTCTTATAATAGGTTTGATAAATAGTTAATGAAGTTAATGATTTGCGAACAATTCAAATAGAAATTGATTTAATTGTTGTAGCGGTAAACTATAGTGAAATTAAAAGGTTAAATCAGCACGTTCTATTTTTTATTCATTAGTTATACTTAGATAATTTGCTTTTGATCGGTGACTTATATAGTCTTATTCTGAAGAGAGATTGACTTGGGTTGCATGATTTGGTTAAAAGATTTAAATATATACGGTGTAACTTAAAAAAAATAGGATGTCACACATTACTAGTTTTAAATATATTAGAAAATATATCATAAACATGATGGTGTTTTTAATTGTATTTCTTTGTTTTGTATAAAAAAATATGACACGTTAATTAGTAAAATATTATTATATTTACATAAACGTATAAAATAGAGTAGACTATATTTACAACTACGACAGAACCTAGATTTCATGAATACGACTTGAGTTGCACTACTGTTACGAAATGAAAACTTTAGGACATTGATTGAGTTATTTGAAAGTTAAAAGGTCTTTTCTGAGTATTGTTAAATGTTGTGGCAAGTTTTATCTTAAAAGGCCTTAATGACGGAAAGCATTTACAAGTTCACTAATTGTATTGCAAACTCGACTGGCTATTACTTCTTACTCAGTCTAAGCTGGAGTTTGGATTCAAGATGTACGTACTCCTACAAAAGACAGGAAATTTTTCTTATTTTCATTATATTTTATTTTTTAAACCCAAAGTACCTTAACAATGTAAACATACCTAATTCCCTATAATTTGCTAAAAACCCACGAACTTTCAAAGTAGGATTGTCTACTATGATTATATTATTGATGATTTATATTGGTCACGTCTAATTTCTAGTTTGTCCCTCAGCTGTTATATAACAAGATCGAAGATTAAATTTGTCAGACTTCTTGTCAGAACGTAACAAACCAAAATTTAAATACGCCTCTGCCTAAGGTGTGTACGCTATAACAGATTAACGATAGAAAACGTGTCATTTTTACTAAACACTGCAGTCTAATCAAACAGTTAGTTATTCAATCAATTATTAAAATTATTAATTAATTATCAATTATTAAAAGGTACCGGTATTGAGTTGTTTTGCGTTGTAGTTCTAGCTAAGAATTCGACTAAGTAGACAGCTATTATCTCACTCTAACACCAAAATAGCATGTGTTTGGGCCCGGCCTGCACTGGAGTCACCAAATAAAGCTACAAAAATACTGGTTACATTTTAGTGTGGTGACAAGATGATTGTATTTGTTACCTGGAGCTTCGCCGTCATATGAGAAGGAAGGTATGAGCAGAGTCTGCGCGTCCACCACAACAACGGGCTCGGAGGAGACAGCGTGCACACCGTTAAGCTGAGCAAGTTTCTGGGGCCTCGGGAAGTCTAGGTTCTTGGGGATCTTTACGTCGCCAAAGTTAACCTATAAATATATGAGAAGTTGTAAAACATGAATATATCTCATCATTTTTATGTGGACATACAATTCACTGCATGATGGGTGTTAATTGGATTTCTTATAATAATTATTTTAAAAATCAATAAAGACAACAGGTTTTAGGTATATTTATGTATAGTATGGACCTACCGAAGCCTCATCACACCAGACGGCAAACCACTTGATGTTAGCGAGCGTTTTACCCTCTGGCAAGGTAAGGGTGATGTGGCGACGACGGTACCTCTTGAGGGGTTGTGACCTGCAAAATCAACACGGGGTAGTTATTTAATATGTCTTTTATTTGTTAAAATTACCATAGACCATAGACGTGAAAATTAAATGTATCAACCCTACATTTGGCATTGTATTTTTATACATTTTCTGCAATAAAATAGTTCAAACAGATCCAAAGACGGTGATACTGATTGTGTAATCAGATAACCGCTAAAAATTTCTAATAAAAAATTACAAAATACAAAACAGAAGTGAACTGCAAAATCACTGTTATTCAGCTTAAGACTAAACCATTTATTCATACAGTCTAGGCATTAATAGTTTTTGAATAATTGTTTTGGTCGTTTGGGCCAAATTTTGTGTCCTAGTAAAGCTTAGAAGGATGTGGATTAAAATAAAAACCTCATTTTATAGTCCCTACAGGTACGTTGAAAAACACCTAGTCATTGTAAAACTATATGGGACTAAACTATATGTGTGTTGATAGGCGTTATGAATTATCATATTTTAAATCTAGTTTTGTCCATTCTTGGCAAGACTGCAATGATATAATGACCGTTTGATTAGATAACCTTCCCGCGTGCTGTCTGTGATGTTATCAGTATTCCTGCAACCCAAGCATCACGTTAATCACAACTCACGATGTCTTTGACACATTGACTATAGTGAACATTATACACCGGTTGCTTTATATACGCTTTCAACACTACATATATGCGATTAGCTAAACAATATAACATTTTATTGTTTAGGTAGGCTATGTCCCTCAATACCATGGGTTTTTTTATTCTTTATAATGCCTAATTTTTTATAGTTGTAGAATTTTTGAAACCCTTGCTTGTGACGCATAGGAAGACACAACACGTTGCCATATGTCAAAAAAGGATTTTTGAAAAAAGAACTTGAATCAACTCTTTTTTTTTTGGAAAGTAAGACTATATACGTCCTCTGCAGATTCAATATTCCTACTTATTTTATTTTCATGTCCATTGACATTGACAAGTGCCTTCAGGGAACCTCTGTGGTGTGTGGTTAATTACGACCACACGATCCCATAATAGGGCCGAGCGAGATGAAAGGATCAGTAATTGAGTAATTATCGTAGGTTCCGAAAGTTGCATATGTAGCGCGAACTGTGGTCTGCTGTGCATGTGTGTGTGTGCGTGTGCGTTAGATTGTGTGCGTCATGGCGTGGTGGTACTTGGAGACTCTAGTCCTGTAGAGCTACATGTCAATGATCCGAAACGATGAGGCAGTCCACCGGCCACCTACATTTACAATCAACTACTTACTTCCTTTCTATTGCATGTTCAACCATATACTTTCTCCGAGGGTTACTTAACCTCTCTTTTATGCGTTTCCCAGACTTTGTTTGCAAATGTATTATTTTTTACTTATAGATATTCCAATTTTTAACACACTTTAACGTGATGTCAGTAAGAAACTATCAGAATTCCGAAAGATTTGTATTTACTAATATTTAAGATTCTTAAAATTGGGCTTATAATAAAACTGCTGATTCAAGTGACACAATAAAAGAATTAAGAACATTGCTGAGCATGTAATGCAATTTGTTGTATGCAGTAACAGTAAAAAAAATGTTTTTAAAGAATACTTACCAAATTAGTTAGGTATATTTAGGAACTGTGTTGTCAATATTGAAAATAACAAGGGCATGCTAACCTTTACAATCTAGGACATTGTTACGTTCTCGAACAACGAATAATGGTAATTACTTTTACTTTACGAAAAAAGTGTAAAATATAGTTATAGTTTAAATTGATATACTTTGAAATATTTTCTACTTGTTTTCACTAACTCGGCTCGTTTTCTCAAACAAATTATTATAATTAAACATTTTATAAGCCACCTACGTAGTCAAAGCAAGAATCAATACTTACATTCCCCTCTCATCTTGAAGACGATGACCATTTCCGTTCACAACTTTTGTATGCCCCACATAGAAATAAGCGGCTGAAATCAAAAGACAATCCCTTAATAACGTATTGATAAAGTGTAGTTGATATTTATATTTCAAAACAAGCTTTATAACATTTACTTTATTGAAAAATATTATACACAGCAAAACATACATTTTCTAAACCAAGTTTACCAAGACGTTTAAAGGGTACAACACATTATTTTTTTCACAACTTGTTTTGAATACTAGATATTTATTATTTTTATTTCTAATACTAATGTTAACAAGAAAATATTATTGAGCTATTGTTGAGAAAGGGGGTAAACATTTAACTGCGTATCTTATTACTCGACGCCAAAACATGTTATGAAAGAGGTTCCATTACACCAACAATAGCTTTAATTACAAAACTGGGTGAGCTAAAGTAAACAAAATGTTGTCACTGAAAAGAAATAACGATCCCTCAGGGCAAAATAATTTGCTAGAGAGTCACGTTTCTTCCATCACCAAATTGGTGTAATCATCTTTACACATCATTGGTCCTACAGTATTACCAAACTAACTGAGAGATATTAAAAGTTGCAGAATCTAAGAAGCATTCAATTACCTGGAGGAAAGATAAATGAGGCAACTAAATTGCTTTTGAATCTTCAGTTTAGTCACTGTAAAATGGCATGTTTAGGTAACTAATTTCAGCCTAAATCTATTCAACCTAATTGTAAGGCGGTACGATTAGCTTAAATACTGTACATTCATGAACATTTCTATATTTGTGCAGTATTCAATGAAGAAATAAAGTAATATGTATACAATTAATTGCAAAGGAAACTTTTGTGGTTGGCCAAAATTGACTTCATTATTCATTTAGGCTACATATATTATTTGACGAAGGAGACGAAACTGAAAAATCACATTCAGTGCATGCAGACGTATGCTGAGACTCAACGTCCGTGTAAGTTTTGTTCGGTCAACTTATTTACAAGGGTGCGTTAACTCATTTAATGAAAAAATTAATCATGTTTTGCTTCCCATGTTTCTTTTTTTTCAAATTTTAGTTTAAACTCGTTTAGTGACTTTCTAAAGACATTTTTCTTCAAGAACCTCCGTTACGTTGAAGGACAAAATGTATTTTTAAATTTATTTTAGGGTCCAATGAGGGGTTGTTTAGTCCTGAACTCCTCCCCCCCCCCTCATGGAATCGTCACTGTTAACACGCTGAATTTTGCTAGGGGACTAGTTAATATTTATCATGCAACTGCTGTCATTTACATAACCTATGCTATATCATCGTTGTGAATAATTGATCAAATGTATTATTATAATACGGTCAAAAACAAGTTTGACTCTACGGAGTAAAACAAGTTTGACTCTACGGAGTAAAACAAGTTTTACTCTAGCATAACATTCTTCTTCGTCTAGTAGCCAAGTTATAAAAATTATATAGCTGAGGCTACACTACCAATAGAAGTTCCTTTAGATTTAGAGGTTCCTTTTCATTATTATTCATTAACCTGACACATATTTCATTTTCATGTTTGAATAACCACACTTTTAACTGACCCTCTTTTTATTCCATAAACAAGTGTAAGACTCACCTGGGCCCTGGCCGTCGTAGTTGAAGTTTCGGATGTGCAGCGTGCGAGCATCTACAGCGTACACATCACCGCTGACTTCGTGGTGGTAGTTAGACAGAGGTGCGATGAACTTTCCGTAGTACTCAACAGCTCCCTGGCTCACTGATATGCCTGTAACAACATGGAATCGTCAAATCTCAGACAAATCGTATGTCTATTTATAAGAGCTCTTGAATAATAGTGATAACTGCCTTGGAATTCGGAAAAGCTGCCACACTCTGGAGGAAATGTATACATTAGATTTGATATTATGAGGGAGGACTCTATCAGAATTATAATATGGTTGAAAAGATTATGCCGTCAGCCAAGCCAACCAAAGATAACTACTCTAGAGGCAATTGTCATGGAAATATATGGCTCAAAACGTCAGGTTGTTCTTAAGAATGTCCAGACTTGTTCTAGTCGACAAATCTACTCCTATGGCAATTTTCCTCATTTTTTTAAATACGAAAGTGTCTTACGAATCATAGCTTGTAGGCAATATCACTAATATGGACTTATAAACTAGAATTACTTCTTAATGGTTGCCTACTATTTGCTACCAGTAGGGCTACTTCCTGGAATTCCCGCAGTTACCGATCCTATGTGTCTCAACCATTGTTATACATAATTTGTTGTATATTAAACAAATGGTTATATTTCTAGTTACAACAAATGTGCATTGTGAAAATTATATTTACCATCTTGTTCGACTGATAAAATACTTTTGAAATGCTATAAATGCTATTTATGTGTAAATAGGACTATGAAATCGTAGTTCAGGAAAATTGTTACGAATGTTCTCCTACAAAATAAAGATAACAGAATCATTACGTGAAGCTAAATCTACATAATGTTTAAGTGTTTTCACTTAAATACTGACTAGTTTGTAGATAGCGTTGTCTCTGTCTTTTTTATTTGATGCCACTTTCCTTACAATTATTAAGAAGCCTTGTCGGACATCACTCGACAGCTACCCTGTTGCTGTATACAAATGTATGTTACCGGAAGCTAGATGTGTTTCCATTTATTACAAGCTGCTATGTGTTAATGTTAACTGAGTAGCCTATTCCATGCTATTGTGTGTTTGTTATGTATTGTGGTAAGATTACCTGATTTTTCGTAGATATTATATTTACGTGTAGTACCGTGGAGGAGGCAGATGGCCTGGAATACCCAGTTTGGTCCAGATTCTTCCCACTTCCGTTATGTATCAATATAACCTGCATTGTGGGTGATGCATGTGCGGTTTATTGTTATGATAGTGTGTGTATACATGTTTTGTACGTGTAGTTGTGTGGGGGAGGAGCTGACCTTGCTATTTGTCCTGGAATGCGGCGTTTGGTCCCTACTCATCCCACTTCCGTTATGCAATATCGGCCGGACCTAACTGGTGCTAACGGTCCTATCTGGGACACCAAGGTCACGACAAGGCCTTCGCCTTAGCACCCACTTCCGTGCCGCAACGGGTTGCAGCGCTGGACCAGTCGTCCACCTGCACCCTGCCTTGCACGCCACATCACCGTACCGAGAAGTGAGAAATAGTGGTAGTTAATGAGCAAATCTGTATTCAAAAATATCCAAAACAACGATAAGGATAGAGTTATAATTTAAGAAAATAGTAAGCTCGAATAATGTTTAGAAGTCCTAAATGTAAATATTGAAATATGGTGGAGCACACTAATTTAGAACACTCATTAGAACTTGAATTCCTTTTTTGTATTTAAATTATCGGCATTTTTTATAATAATGATTGTTTTTGTTGCAATTACAAAATTTTACCTAAAATGTTACCCAATCATTTTCATATGAATGGTGTTGTAATCAATTCAGTGTTTCATGAGCTTCAATTTACACATCTCATTTTTGTTATTATTATTGTTAATAAAAGAAAAATAAGAATGTACTCACATTTCATCAGGCCATTCATATAGGATTTTTCATTTAACAAAACTTATATGATGGTATAGATAGATACCGGCCTTAACATAAATACCATTAGATCCAAGTGGAACATCGGCAGCCTGCCAAAAAGGGACAATAACGGCAATGTGCGTGGAAAGCATTATTAACCAATACTGAATAGGTTTGTTTTTACAACCGAGAACTCGTGAAAACTGTCTCGATTTATTCTTTGATTTTTAAATTTATGACGCAGCTATAATATTTTATTTCAGTTTTGAAAAACCATTCATATTACTTAGATTGGTGGTAGGGTATTATTTACGTTTGATTAACATGATATACGCTATTTTAAAATATTTTCCTACAAAATTTTGGAAGAAAAAAGTACCGTGTAAACGTTACTTTCAAAAAACGAAATGGATTAAAAATTTTGCTCGGGGTCAAATAGGAGATGTGATTAAATCCTTAGTGTACAATAATATTTGTTACTCAAGACCAATTACGATAGTAAAACTTTTTAAAAAAGTCAATGTTTGACATGTTATGCCCAATGTATGCAAGACTACTTTTAAAGTCGACGGATGATAATATGATATTCTTATGACAATAGCCTAATAATAACGTACGTGAAGGTCGATAAAACATAGTTTCACATTTCTTAGTAAACAATGTAAACTTATAAGAATTTTTTTTTTTTTATTTCATCACAGTCCATTTAATATTTTCCAAGAATTCTTTACCCTTTCAACTATATACATAATATCTACATATTTCTCGAAACAAATGTATACAGAAAGTGATCGATTGAGAAACATAGAGTTGATGCAACACAGATCATGCAGTACTACTTATGTAGATGAATAGTTCTGACATGAATGGCCTCTTTGATAAATCTCTGAGCGGAGTGCCAGAATGCACAGCATAGTTCCATGTCGGTCAGCAACGGTTCGAGTGGTACGTCATTCTGATAGAGTAATCATGTCTTTGTGTTGCAACCAGCCGATAGGTTGGCCAGAAACGCGTGTGGGAGGCATTGTATTCAGATTTCAACTTAAGTCTCGACCCAAATATTGTTGTCCTATCGTACGTGTTATTCTGTGAGTACCTGATTAAAATCTTGTAATAAATACCTGGGCATGGAAATGCAGCTATTTAACTCGTGTGATAGTTATTGAAGCCCGTGCATGCAAATAGAAGTTAGTTTCTAATCCAGCTATACAATATAAAATACAATTAGCACGTTTATTTTTATCTAAATAAATTTTTTAAAGCATAGTATATTTTTTATAGGTGGAAATTCGTCCTATGTTGATAGGAAAATAATCTTAGAATTTTTTAGTTCTTTATTTAAGTTGGTTCTCTCATGATTGAATTTAGCATCCAATTTAACGTTTGCCATCAGCCAAATAACTATTTCAAGTTTTTATCGATTTTATGACTATTACGAGTTAGTATGTAGTTTTATTTATATTTAGTCATTTTGTTCAACGTTTAACGTTTCTAGTGACACAATAATAAATTTGTTAGTTTTAGATGCGTTCGTGTTATGGTTTTGTCTTGCATTACAAACAATAATATCTACTACGAGTAGATCGATGATTTATATAATTACAAACATTATAACCTTTAATCCATCGGCCAATAATGTTTTGTCTTCCACAATAGAAATGTAGTGCAAGGCTAACGTATAAAGACAATAGCTCAAAAACATTGAAATTTGAAAGTCAATGTGTTCAGGCCAATTTAATTATGATTGGCTAATTAAATGACCTATTTCATGGTCATCTGAGCATTTGTTTTGTTAATCAAATAATTAGTTTTGTCTAAACACTGCTGAACTATTGTTCCCATTGAGTAAAAACATTTATGTTCAGGACCTTTGAAAGACAAAGGGAATCAAAAGTCACGACGCTCGTTGAATCGTCTCGATAAGAGGACTTTTGAAACGCAAATAGTCTTGACATTTAACTGATATATGTCGCAACTGATCGTGAACCGTTGTCTCAGATCTGTGGAACGGCCGAGACAAATCCTTTAACAACACGGTGTTATCTCAATAAATGACGTCAAGAGGCCCTTGACCTTAGCGTGACGGTCGCGCGAAGCGAGGGAAGAACAAGGACCAAACATGGGACCCAGAGAAACCATAAGTTGAATAGAAACAAGAGAACACAGAGATAAAATAAAAAGAATAAAATGAAAATCGAATAGAACTTAGTGTGCACTTAGAGAATGCTTAAGAGTAAACGCAAAGGTCTAAGGGAATCAGAGCATAAGAAGAAGGGACCTTAGATAGAGAACAGTACACAAGAGTCATAAAGGAGAATTCAATGAAGTTCTGGTTGAGCTCGGTGTAAAGTGTACACCCACTAGGGACATAACGAGTACACATGAATATGTCAGGAAGAAACTCAGTGAAGCTCTGTGAAATCTTGCGAACACCAAAGGAGTGCTTAAAGAGAAAATATAAATAGCTCAGGGATAACAATGAGGAAACAGGAAGGAAGAGCTCAGTGAAATTTTAAGGAACACACAAATGGTTCTTAGGAAGTAATCATAGATCACTCAGCGGAGCTCTAGGAAAAGCTCTAGGAACTATTTAACCAAAGCATTATTAAACATCTAAACTAAAATTATCAAACCCCAAACTTGAGTTTATTTTAAGAAATGGATTAAATGCATTTGTGAATAAATAGTTTTTTGTGATATTTTATAAATGTTATATTCATTTCTAAGTAGGTGTACGGTAATATATGTTATTTTTATATTAAAATAAAGGCTAACGTGCTTTGATAATAAGATTCCTTAGTCAAATTATTATTCGTTTCCCAACAGCTGGTTAGCCTAGGCTATAGTATGGGTGTCTATAGACATTCGCGATAATACCCTAAAATGTAATCTACTATTTTAGGTAGCTTAGTTTAGCAGTGGCGTATTTTGTTATTACTTTAGTAACAATGCAGGTTGCCGTCTACTCAATTATAAAAATAATGTAAGCTAATAATACAGTTTAGGTTAACCATAGTTACTTGGCTACGTTGATTCAGGAAATATATCTTGTAGGACTTTTACTTATATTTATTACTATGCTGTATAGTAGTGGTTACTACTGTAAACATTAAGATTTAAAGATTGTGTTAAAGGTCAAAAACCATGCTTATATGGAAATGAGAATAAAAACTACATTGAGTTGCTCACAAACACTTTAATTGTTCCTACAAAGCAGC